AAAACAGACAAGGAAGTACTTTGCAAGCTAAACATGCTGTAGTTTGATGACTCTCAGTACAGGCCTCAGTCATCTGGTCATGTGGGCCTTTATCATCCATAGCATCCATCAAGGCAACATTATTACTTTGTAATTTGTGGGGTGGCATTGGTGAAACAGTGCATAATCCACAGTCAGAGAACGTGGGCTCAAGTCCTAATTCTACACTTCTCAGGCATATTCTTTTTCAGAGATTTGGTGCACACGGCTTTAAAATGAGATTAGACTACTGATACCTGCTGTTACACTGAGAGTTACTATAAAGATCAAATGAGAAGATAAGTAACAATGAAAGCTTGTATGTGTTCAAGAAATTCCATGTGTCAGGTACTGTGCTAAGTGATTTACTTCCTTGATCTTAATGAAGTCCTGCCACTATCAAGAAATAGACACCATTATTATTTCTTTTCACAGATACGGAAACCAGCATTAGAGAAGTGAAGTGATACGCCTAAGGCTATAAAGCTAGTCACCTGGGAGCTGTGATTCCAGGTCTGATTGAGAGCAAAACCCATACTCCTCCGACCACCTAAACTTCACAGCCTCTAGAATCCTGTATTGAGATAGAATAATAGTTTACAAGAATTGTTTTCTATAATTTGGAGAGGAGGGGGAGTAAGAAAAGCAAGTGATTTTAAAACTCACTTGGTGCATCAACTGGTAAGAGTTCACAGAGTAATCGGCTATAATTGCAATTCTCTTTGCAGTCCTCAGATCTCTCGTTAATTAAAAACAGCCTCAGCCCTATGTGATGTTAATTTTAACATCTTTGTAGGTAGCTCTTGGGAATTTTCACAACACATCTCACTTGATCATCATACCTTCCACAATCACTGAAAGTTCAGAAAACTACAACAAACATCTAAACGGTGGCTGAGATAGTCACTGTAGTGTTAAAGCAATTCATAACTAAAGGCAAAACATTTCATTATTGTCAGGGCTAGGGCTCAAACCCTTCAAACACATTGTACAGTTTGGGTCACAAACCCTTCACACGTCAGGCTGGGTCACCAGACCCTTTACACGCAGGTCCACAAGCTAGGTAACTGGGAGCCAATGGCAGATTACACAAGCTCAATCCTCAGAAGCAGAAGCAGCAGTGGCCCCTCGAGACATCCCGGGGGCACTGGCAGCAACAGCCTCCAGCAGCAGTAGTGGCCTCCCCATGCCCCCTGCCCCTGGATCAGAGCCACTCGTCCTTTATACTTAAGTCATAACCCAGAACACCTGGGTGCAAATGTGCAATTACATTAGACAATAATCAAGGAACACCTGGGCGCATGTGCCTATTTACATCAAATGCTCAGCAAGATTCTGAATACCTGAGGGGCCCTGACCATTTTCCTTAACTTTCCCTACAGTCACCATCACTTAGTGCACTGGTATTTTTCAGGACCACCTCGTCAGAAACTCCTAAACACAATATGCTTGCTATACTGATTGTTTACAACTTAAAAATAATAAAAGTTTTTTCCTATCGAGGGTTAGTCAAAAGCTGAAGACTAGCCCCAAATCCAGCCCCAAACCTGGCCTCAAAATCTATCCTTTCCTTTTCCTCTATAAAAATAAATAATGTCTTAGCATAAACTATTAACATACCCTTTATAAGCAATATCTTAATTAGAAAATGACATTTTTCAGTATTTAGCACAGATCTAGGAACATAATAGACATTTGGCGCTTGCTGGTTGAATTGAGAATACAATTTAGAAAATCTAAAAAATACCAAAGTACCTTCTTTTTTACCTTACTCTCCATATTTCAAATGTTTCAATTACTGCTTAGTGTTTCTAACCTTCACTAGCCTAAGAGAATAGAATTTGGGGGAATCTTCTGAAAAATATGGGTTCCCATGGGGAAGTTCCATAGCTCCAACACGGTGTGGGTGCTCCTTTACACTCCTCAGCCAGATATTTTGAGTACTGCAAGCAGATCCAGAAACATCCCTCCTCTGAGCCCTGTCCTCCAAGGCATGGCTCTATCATCTGTGTACTTTGCTCTTCCCTTTCCTGGCAAAGCATAAAAAGGGAAGTAACAAGCTTCTCGCTGTTGTCAGGTTGTACAAAGTCCTGGGACTGCCTTTTTATTCAATCAGAACAATGTTCCCTTAGTAACCAAACTACAGTACAAACTGATTCTTCTATCTGCTCCCTCATCAGGAATGCCACCACCTTCAAAGGGAAAATGTATTTTATCTTTCTTAATTAATTAAATGAATTAGGTCTTCCAGCAATCTCTTTTAGACCTTTCTTAGACTTCTACTCCTTAAAGGAGAGTGGACATGGGAAAAAGGCCCACAGCTTGGAGTATGTATAGTAGAATAGATAAATCAGCATTTCTTCTAGTAAGGGAAACATCACAACCGGCTCATAAGGTGACAGAGGCAGTATAGAGTAGAGTGGTAAGGACGACAGGTTCAGAGACAGCATGTTCTGGGTTCAACTCTATTTACTAACAGTGTGAATGAACAAATTACATCATCTCAATGTGCCTTAGTTTCCTCATCTGTATTAAAGGTATAATAATCATAGGATTGTTGTAATGTGTCAAGTGAGATAATCCACATAAAGCACCCACCACATTGCCAGGTTCATCACAAGTGTTCAATAATTGTCATTTGTTTTTGTATGCAGATAAGCAAATGTATTAGGTAAGCAAATATAGACAACGAATGTCTGCTTGAGTGGCCACTACTTGTGTGTATGGCATATATACAAACAGATGAGAAGGAACATGCAGTGTAGCAAAGTGTAGAAATGGTTTGGTCCAGGAAACCAAGGTGATGACTCCTGACTTAAGCCAGATACATTTGGTCTCCTGGAAACTAAAGGAGCAAGGTACCCATGTGAAAATACCTACCTCAGGGAGAATAGAACTCCCCCCCTGAGCAAGCATTTTTTTTTTTTTTTTACCAGCTATTACCAAAGTGGATTGTCAGAGTCTTGTTTTGCTTCCTTTTTCCTACCAAACCACATTTTGAGCAAGGCCACCAGCAAAAGGGCAGGCAACACCCAGAGCGAAGGGGAAATGAGAGTCCTCCTCTGAATAAAACAGGTTTAAATAATCTAAGATTTACAGAAATACCATGGATTTGTTAAACAAACCCAAAAGTGTAGGAACACTAGATCTTAAGTTCAAAATTTTCCTTTCTCAAGTTTTTTTTTTTTTGACTGGTAAGGGGATTGCAACCCTTGGCATGGCGTGGTCTGCACCACGCTCAACCAGTGAGTGCACCGGCCATCCCTATATAGGATCCGAACCCGCAGCCTGGGCACTACCAGCGCCGCACTCTCCTGAGTGAGCCATGGGGCCGACTCTCAAGTTTTTGAAAATAAATGTTTTCAACATTTATTTTCAACATTTGTAGCTGATTTACTGTGTAAGACTAATTCAATGGCATATACTTTACCAATTAGAATTAAATTGTCAGGAAGATGGGCACATACATACATACATACATTTAGGGTGATAAAAAAATATTCTGATTGGTCAAATATTCAGGTTAACAGAATGTAGAAAGGTAGTTTTCATTTTCTTTCAAAAGATGACCGGTAAGGGGATCTTAATCCTTGACTTGGTGTTGTCAGCACCACGATCACCCAGTGAGCCAACCGGCCATCCCTATATAGGGATCCGAACCCGTGGCCTTGGTGTTATCGGCACCACACTCTCCTGAGTGAGCCACGGGCCGGCCCCGGTAATTTTCATTTTCATCTTTTTTTTTTTTTTTTTTAAAAAAGATGACCGGTAAGGGGATCTTAACCCTTGACTTGGTGTTGTCAGCACCACGCTCAGCCAGTGAGCGAACCGGCCATCCCTATATGGGATCCGAACACGGGGCCTTGGTGTTATCAGCACCGCACTCTCCCGAGTGAGCCACTGGCCAGCCCAGTTTTCATTTTCAAATGGGTTGACTTCATCTGTAAACCAACCTTCTGTATCAAACAGATTTATGACAAGATTGTCACCTAAAGCCACAAAACCTATTTAATATATGAGTAACTGACAGTTCTGGAACCTTAAAGGAAGTAAATGTGCTAATAGCTCCTCTTCTCCAGGGCAAGGCTAATGCTAAGAAAACTATGATATACGTAGTTTTCCTTTGGCACCTTTCAACCTTTTTTTACCCCTAATCTCTTGGGGCTTTGGAGAAAATAGACTTGATTAAATTAATTCACTTGGAAGCATTAAGTGGCTCTTAGAGAAATACTTTCATAAAAAAAAGAAAAACAGCAAGATTCAAACAGGTAGTGTTGTACAGAACCTTTCTAAGGGTGAATACAGTGTGAGAGTCAGGGAAAGTGGTGTAGCATAAAGTGGTGATGCCCAGATACTATTGCCTGGCAAATAGATACCCCACTACCCATCTCTGTGTCTGACTCCAAGAGTCAGCTCGTCTACTATCCTAGATTTTTAGAGATTCTTCCTGTCATCTACTTCTGAAACCACAGGTTCCCTACATTTCAAATCCTTTTTGTTGATGGGGGTTAAAAGAATGTAGGGAGTTAGAAGAGGTTCATTATGTATAAATCAGGAACCAAAAATGCATGATCATCTTCACACAAGTTAGATATAACACTTGCAATATATATTTCTAATATGTTTGTCACAGAAATTATCACGCTTTTAGCTAATTAAAAAGCTAAGTTGCTAAAGGTTACCTTAAAAAAAAAATAGTGGGAGAATGTGGAAGAGAATTGAAATTAAGCAGTTTCTTTCAGCTTCAATAAATCTACTTTGCTATCAGCTGGGCCAAAGGTACAAATTCTAGGAATTTCACATTGAGGTTTTCTCTAAATATGACCTTCTCACCTAGGACCAAAATCCTTTTATTTTTTATTTGATTTTTCACTCTCAGAACTGGGAGCTGAGGAAAATGATTACTAAATTGTTCTCTTTATATATAATATGATACTTTGGTCAGGCTATAATTCTTTTTAATCGGCTATGAAATGGCTTACCAGATTTTTCAGCAGTGTGGACAGCTCCTTTGTAAGAGTAGAAAACTTGACAAAAGCGGTGCCAAGATCGGGGTTGTCTCGACTTAAAAAATTACTCCCAAACTTATCAAGAACTTGTGCATAGTTTTCTTCATTTTGTACATGATCTAAAAAAGAAGAAAGGAGTATGAGCTATTATTTGCCACAATGAAGGGTTATTTTGAACATTGATCACTAGAAACTCTCAAAAGGAAAGCACAGAGAACCTGCATCAATTATTTATTGAACACACCCAGAAGGTGGGTACACTGAATGTTCTAACTTACTCTATTAAAGGAGGTTCCCCCTTTTTCTTTCATAGCATTTAGTTCATTTATATTCCAATTAATCCACTGACTCCCCATAGTTTGAGGGATCAAATTATCATCACATTTATTATCAGAGAACAAGAAGAAAATCCTCCTTGGAAAATCAATCTTGGATTGCAAAAGAAAAATCCATGTGTTGTAACAGGTTTCTTTCTCAGCAACTAATCTTCATTTTCTTTAATTCTGTCTAAGCCCCAGGTCTGAGGAACAGCATTAGTACAATGCTTTTCACATACCATCTCTTGGTGCAAAATGTTCATGCTTGGATCAGATGGATCTACGTTTGAAATTTGGTTTCACCACCTATGCGCTGGTTACCTTATCAGTTTAACTTCCATGCCTACTACCTTAGCAAGCATATAAGAGGCATTAATTATGTTTGTGAATAAGTTTCTCCTCCCTAAGCTTTGGTTTTACAATCTATAAAATGAGGCTAATATCTACCTTATAGGATTGTGGTGTTGATGAGCTGACACAGAACATACAAAAAAGTTTCTCAATAGAGGGAATGTTCCATAAATAATAACTCCCACCTCCTTGAAACACCTTCTTTACTTGGCTACCAGAAAATCATACTTTCTTAAGTGTCCTCCTAACTTCTAGCGCTCCTCTCTGTAGTCTTTGCTACGTCTTTATCTCTCTGGCCTCATCATGTTGGAAAGCCTGAAGCTCGGTTTTTGGGTCTTTTTTCTTCTTTTATCTATGCTTTTTCTCAGCTGACAACTCTCAAATTGATACCCCTAGCCAAGACAACCCCATCCTTGAAATACAGACATACAGTTGATGCTCCATATCTGTAGGTCCCATATACGCAGATTAAACCAACTGCAGATTACGTACTGTGCAGTTAGGCCTATGATGACTTCATCTATACTTAACATGTACAGACTTTTTTCTTGTCATTATTCCCTAAACAATACAGTATGACTATATACGTAGCATTTACATCATGTTATGTATTACAAATAATCTAGAGATAATTTAAAGTACATGAGAGGATGTGTATAAATTATACGCAAGGAGTATGTAATCTTATAGAAGGGACTTGAGCATTCATGGATTTTGGTATCCATGGGAAGTCCTAGAACCAATCCCCCATGGATATGATGATGGTATATTGAACTGTCTATTCAATATCTCCACTTGGATGCCTGATAACTATGTTCAATCTTAACACATCTAAAACCAAACCCGTGATCTTCTGCCCCAACCCTCTTTTATCCACAGTCCCCAGTCTCTGTGAGTTCATGGTAAATACATTCTTATAAGTTGTTCATGCAAAAAACCATCAAATTATACTTGATTTTTTTTTCTTACATCCCAGATGCAATCCACTGGCAAATCCTTTTGCACCTACCTTTAAAATATATCCAAAATTTGACAACTTCTCACCATCCCTGTGGGTATCAACCTTATCCAACATCATCTCGATCACTACCAAAGCTTCTGAACTGGTCTCTTTGTTGCTTATCTTGCTCCCCACATTCTGTTATCAACACAGCACCCAGTGTTACCCTGTTAAATTGTGCATCAGATCTTATGACTCCTGTGGCAAACATTACCACTCATCATGGATATCCCAATCCTTAAAAGCTTATGTTACACCTGTGGCTTTTTTTTTTTTTTTGGCTAGCTGGGATCTAACCCTGGACCTTGGTGTTATCAGCACTATCCTCTAACCAACTAAGCTAACTGGCCAGCCCTCTTGCAGGCTCATGGTAAGGAGTACTACATTTCCCCAATCCTTTAAGTAAGGCATACAGTATGGCTTGTGCTGACCAAGGCAACCTTCACATGGAAGCATTTTGGATGCTTGTGCTCAACTCCCCATCTCCCTCCTCCTCTGTTGTGGTATAGAGAGAAGCATGAATTTCTATGGAGGCCCACAGTACATGCCTAGTATTTACTGAATGAATAAATGAACAAATATTTATCAAGGTCATATCTTTAAAGGCTTAATCCATACATCTTCTTTTTATAAAGCCTTCCCTTAGTTGGAAATAATCCTTGCTTGCCTATAATTCTGTGTACCACTACTGCAATGTTTTCCATCTCATCACATATATCTACATGTCTTTCCCTATCATCAGACCACTAGAGACAGAGATTGCCTCTGGTTCACCTCTGCATTCCCACACAAAAGATACCACTGTAGATTTTTTAGTGAACTGCACTTATGAAGCTAGGGCTCAGTAAATATGTGTTGACTTGAATTTGTTGAATTTCTTTTCAGGAATTTAAGAAATATTCCCTTCTCAAATCTCATAAATTGTTTAATAATTGAGACAAAATTTTTAAAAATTTAATTTTCAAAACACACCCTCAATAAATGCATGAGAGCAGTAGGCACTCATGAAACAGAACATGAGTCTGGATTGGGGAATAACTCGGGAAGTCTAAATACAATAAAGAAAACAAGTGCCACAGCAGTACAGTGAAATGAAATGAGGCCCTAGCAGCCTTCTAATCATCACCACATTAAAAATTCATGATGTCTGCAGTGCTTGTCAGCATTTCAGGCTGAGATCTTTAAAAAGATAAAATGCAGCTCTAGTTACTGTCCAAGTTCACTCCAGAAGCAGCTCAGAAAAACACAAAAGAAAGGCCACATCAGCTCAACAGACAGGATGCATCTGTCTGATCTCCCTCATATGCTGGAGCTAACCTGATACCTTCTGTGTGAGGCCAAAGTGCCCCACCTCCCGTGACACCCTTTTCTGCTTTTGGAGGTCAGTGAAAAAATAATCCACTTGCCTGTTCATTTCTACTTCCAAGGGAGGTGTCTCAGTGGTAAACATAAGTATATGACGGGCTTTTTTTGTTTGCTTTAAATTACAAAATATTTCAGATGAAATATATAAAAATATTTTAGATTAACAGAATACCCATATACCTACCACTTAGCTTAAGCAATAAAATATTATAGAACGGTTCTCCACTCCCTCACCCCTGTCTCTACCCGATTCCAATCTCTTCCCTCCCTCCCTCCCTAGACACAGCCATTATGCTGAATTTGGAATTTCATACAGAGGTTAGAAAGAAATATGAGAAGCTCTCAGTCTATCAGTGATGACAGATTCACTAAAAATAATACGGACTTAGCTAAGGGCTAAGGCAGAGACAGGCCATGGGAAGGGAGTGTTGGCATGTGTTGAGAAATTTCTCTGACCCAAATGCTTCCTATGATATATTTCACCCTCACCAGAACCCTGCAAGGAAAGAGTTATGCTTATTAGATAGGTAAAACATAAGATCTAGGCTGGCCAGTTGGCTCAGTCGGTTAGAGTGCAGCTTGTAACACCAAAGTCAAGATTTCAGTTACCTGTAACAGCCACATGTAAATAAATCAAAACAAACAACCAACAAAAAAACACAAAATGTGATGTGAGAGAGGCAGATGGTGAGACTGGATAAGTAAGTACAGAAGTACAGGCTAGGTCATGGGTCCTGTATGTTTTGCTAATTCCACAACTGAATAATCATGTAATCTCTATCTCTGTGTATGTATATATCTATCTATGAGCATGTACGTGTGTATATATAGATATCATAACATGTCAAATCTATAATTTCCTAGTGTAGATGCGCATCTTAAAATATAACAGTTGAGTACAATATATCTTGGGATAATAATAATAATCCTATGAGAGTAGAAACAATGGGAATTAAATGTAAGATGCTTACAATAGTGCCTGGCATGCGGCACGTGCCCCCAAAATGTCAGCCAGTATTACCTCTACACCCATGACTACTTATCATACAGACAGATGTAAGTTATATCAAACAGTATAGGAACATAGGTCTCATGTTTTAGGATTTTGTTTTTTTTTTAACATACTGCATTCTAAATCTAATGGTGACAATTTACTAGAAAGATTATACACACACCCTCCTTTGTACAAAATTAAGGGTTTACCAAGCACATCTACAAGCACAGAGTGTGAGAGGGTAAGGAGATATGACTCTGGTGGAGAAAACAGCAAGGGCAGAGGCAGAAGGGAGAGACATATTACAAAGCACAGTAAGCCATCTGAATGGAATATCAGTTCAGGGGTATTGGGAAGAAGAGGGAAATAAAGCTTTGTTTTAAGATCTTTACTATATCCGAGTGCTAGAAGACTTTTGGGAGTGCGGTACACTGGGGGCTGGGGGAAGTAGGTGAGGACAGAGATCGGATAAAAGGAAAGAAAAGAAAAAAGAAAAAGAAACCTGATCCATCCATTAAAAGAAGACAAAATTCTTTTCTATTATTTGAAAAAAATTTCTGGCATTCATGGCACTGTTGTAGAATGTAAGATAGGTGCAAAAAAGAACAGAATAATTTAATTTTACCAACTGTACCAGAAAGAGCCATTTAGAATTTCAACCGCCAGTATTTCTTTGGGGAGATGACTAAGATATACTAATCACCTAAAATGTTCCATGCTTCATAAAAGTGCCTTTACATACATTCCAACACTTAACCCCTCCAGTAATATATCAGTAGTGATTTACTATTCCAGTAAGAATGGTCGTAACAGTTTGTTGGGTGTTCATTATATGCCAGTCATTGCACAAAGCACTTTGCATACATTACTTCATTCACTCTTACTAACAAGTACATGAGATAAGTACTATTATCATCCCCATTGTGTAGATTACAAACACTTGCCCAAGATCATACAATTCAAAAAAAGGAAATTTAAACTCAGGCCTTTTAAATCTCAGAGTTGGAAACTTTTCCTCGTTAGAAGATCAGAATGTGTCACCCCTAAATATGCCACTTTGGCATAAGGATTACTTTGAGCTGAAGGCAATTAAAAAACAGCAGATAAAAGAGGAACTTCTGCACTTCCCCTTTCTGCCTAAAAGCAGGGCATAAATTTCCCTTTTTGAAAGTGTTTTCTCCCTTGCCCCCATACTAGGAAGAGGAGAAAAACTTGTCACAGGAATCAGAAAGTCAGCACCAAGATGAGTCTGCATAAACAAACCTTACTCAAGTAATCCCTATCTTCCATTTGTTTCCCCCATACATTTGCCTTCCCCAAAATTCACTGCCCTAAAAGCCCAAATTCCTTTTGTCTTGTCACTTTCTCCACAATTTATCACCCTTTGTTAAAAATGGTACATAAGAATAAAAATCTTTTCTGTGAGGCCCTCTGGATGCATACTAAATAGAGCTTTTCTTCTGTTAATCTGTTTTTTATCAGTTTAATTTGCAAGTCCCAGCCACTGAACCTAAGAGGGTAGAAGAAGTGTTTTTTCCCCTCCCCCCTACACCCCACATCCTAAAGTGGGATAGACCTAGGTTCAAATACCAGGTCTATAAACTTACTACCTGTGTGGTACCTTAGTTAAGTAACTTTATCTTTCTAAGCCTCATCGTCCTCATGTATAAAATCACAATAATAATGGCATTTATCTCATGGAAATATTATGAACTTAAGTAAGATACCACATGCCAAGTGCCTGGCACATGATATGATAAGCTGAATAAACATGACAACAATGACGACAATGACAATACCAACTGACCATTGCTGGCCACTGCAGTGGAGCCAGCCTTTTATCCTCTGGTCAGTTGGCAGAGGCTTCAGACAATATTCTGAAATCAGTAATAGCACTCAGAGATTACATCCCTAGTGGCTGGCAATAATAAGTGCTTTAGGAATACATTAAAATTCAATATTCTTTAAACATACTTTGTATATTCATCAAATGAGGCCTTCCTCAAAACTTTCAGAACCATAGCAATTATTAAACAGGCCTTTCTCTGAAGGTTGTCTGCCTGCTACTCTGTGTTAGAACTTACCAAACTGGGCAATTTTCACAAAACCTCCTGACTGGCCTGCCAACCCAACCTTTCATTCTCAGGCACTGTAATTATGGCTGCCATTTATTAAACACTATGTAGTGTGATCCACCATGGTAAATATCCTAAAACTCATGTGATACTCCTTGAAGGCAGTTATTTTATAGATAAGAAAAGTGAAACTCGGGGGTGAAGCCAGGAGTAGAACCCAGCTTCGTGTGATTCCAAACTCCATCTTTTTCCACTAACAGATTCAGGAAAGACTATCATGGATAGTAGAATATTGTGTGCCACACTATCTATCCAGAATCCACCGTGAAAGTCTTGATACAGGAGAGTCAGGAATACAAAGATGAAAAAAAGTCTTCCTGTCCCATAATAATATTGACAATGTAATGGTTATAATAATTAGTTGCAATTAAAATTTTTGATTACTTAATGTGCCAGGAATTGTGTGAAGTATTTTTCCTGTATTATCTCATTCAATGTTCACAAAATCATGCTATTATTACTATCCCTATTTTATAGATGAGAAAAATCATTTAGCTAGGTTAAGGAAGTTGCCCCCAGTCACAGAGCTAATAAGCAGTGGTGACAGGCATTGACTCCAGAGCCTCTACTCTTAACCAGTGTGC